CTGCTACAGAGGAGTGTGGGACCACGGCGGCAGTCCCAGACCTGCCCCAAGCCATGCAGACAGGTACGTGGGCCCCAGTACACGTTACACTTAATGTCCATTAATTGCATTTTACAGTAGTAACCTGGTCACACATTCAGGGGATTAACAGCATCACAGAGGGAAACCAGCCACAAAAATGTTATGCAAAAAAATGCAAGGTTTTTGTGGCCTTTTCCCACCGTGCCTTCAGTCAAACGCATAGCAAGGTTAGCACCGCAGCAGGGTCTCCAACCGGGCCCAGTGGGATGCCCATTGGCTGACAATCCCTGATTGTTGGCTAGATCTGGGACTTGAACTGGGTGATGATCAGCTGACTGTTGGCTGGCTCCTGGACTGCACCAGAGCGAGGTCCTGATCCAGCTGGTGGCTGGGCACCCAGCTTTCAACTTGCCGGTGTAAAGGAAGCCGGGATCGTGGTCCCAGACTCCCCCTGTACTAACAAGCGGGACCCGATTGAAATGTGATCCCTGGGCCCAAAAGCATGCATGCTGCCTGCACACCCAGTATGGCAGGAGGTGCATCGCATCTTTAAATGAACTTCTACCAGTAGCCTCAGACTCCAGCCCTACAAGGCTTCAAGCTAGTAGGAAAGGTGCGTGTAACCTGCTGGCAAGGTCGTCACAGGTGCTCCTCATGGCCAAACTGCCAAGGGGAAGAGCTTCTACAGGTCCCGCTGTGGCACCAGCAGCCCTGACATCCTGGCCACGACAGACCGCTGTAGGCCCATTGGGATGCATCTCCTTGCAGCCTCCAGGCCTGCAAGTGTCACGACGGCCACTTCACCCCTCACCCCCATCCCATGCTCACCGCATGCCCAGTGCCCATTGTTGGCTTGTGCAAAACACAGCTCTGAAGCTGTATGTGTCGCACACATGGTACTCTAGTATCTCAATAGGCCAAACTGGAAACACAGCCTAGGGAAAAGATCCCTGACAACAGCCAGGAAGGCTGTTCCTCCAAAAGCTTTAGATGCCAGCAGCCCCAGAAGACATCACTTCTGCCTCCGGGCTTGACTCCCAGGCCTATCCCAACACGTTACTGAGGCTAAGTGGTATCCGCAGCAATCAATCTCTCTCATCATCAAAGCCACAAGCCATCTGTTTCCACTTTCCCGGGGAGAGGCGGGGAGTGGAAATCTGGTTTCACTTGGGTTTCCCTTCCCTGGGTGATGCTTTGCTGAGCATCAAACACCGTCTGCAATGCGATCAGCAGTCTGTGGGTGGCCCATCTCCCCCATTCAAAACTAAATGTATAGCTTGGGCCATGGCTGCAGGACAATTAGCTGTGGCATGAGAATTAATAGTACTGGGGGCACGAGGTGCCAGTGAGCAACACCCCCCCGCAGCTGGCACAAGGCATGGAGCAGCTCCCTCGCTGAAGCACTGGGGTGCAGTACAGACTCGCTGCTTCAGAGCTACGGATGGCGGCTGAGCACTTGGGTCGCAGGATGCCTGGTGAGAGGCGTGTGCCGTCTTCACGCCGGCTAGGGAAGGAAGAGGCCAGGACGTGCTGTCACCAGCGCTGCTCTTTCCTTAGGGGTTTCGTGCATCTGAGGGTGAAGTTACACATTACGCTGAGACCAAATGAAGGGTGCTTAAAATGCAAGCGTCTGCACGTAAAAGATCATTGACTCGTGCTAAGCGTCCTCTGATGTCTCAGAGTTACGCCGCTTCAGGAGAGGGTTAGCTGTGGGCCGTGCACCCAGCTCGTGCCAGGATAAACTTCAGTCCGTTCCACAGAGATCGAGTAGGTAACTTGTAGTCCACCAGCATCCCAGGATGCACCACTCCCAGCCCCCACCCCACACCCAGAGCAGGATAGAGCCCAGGTGTCCCGGATCCTAGCCCCGCCCCTCCTCGCCAGCCCTCTAGTGGCGAGTCAGAGCCATGCAAGCAAGAAACGGTATTAACCCTGGAAGTGCAGCTGCTCACGGCCCGTTCTAATTAACACCAATTAACATCCCACAGATTTAGTCTGGGCCAAGTAAACACCGAACTGCACCTCGAGACCAGAGGAAGGTGCCCCCCTCCCGAGAGCAGAGTGCACATCTGGATGCAACGATAGTCAAATGGACCAAAAGCAACCTTGGAAAGCCAGAGCCTTGCCCTCTAAGCCCTTCCCTGAGAAAAGAGGACCAGGTTCAGGGTGAGATTTTTGGGCAGCCAGTAGGATGGGGATTTTCTAGCCATGGGACTGGGCTCAGTTTGACCGTGGCTCACGTGACTTTGGGCAAGTGACTTCTTCCTTGCCTTAGTTTCTCCATCTTTTCTCTTTCCTGAGCAGGCTCCGATCCGTGATTTCCTTGGGCAGTGCCCAGAAGAGAAGGGCCCTTATTGGAGAGAGTCCAGCAGAGGGCAGTGAAAATGGTTCAGGGGCTGGGGCACAGGACGGGTGAGGAGAGGCTGAGGGTGCTGGGCTGATTGAGGCTGCAGAAGAGAAGACCGAGGGGGATTGAATAGCAGCCTTCACCTCCCTGCAGGGGGGCTGCAAAGAGGATGGAGCTGGGCTGGTCTCAGTGGGGGCAGATGACAGGACAAGGAGCAATGGGCTCAACAGCTCCTGCTGGTCTGGGCAAGGGGTACAGACTCTTGCACCTGGCTGCAGGCGATCCCAGGGAGTGGTAGCCTGCAGCCTGGAAATGCTCCTCCATCCCGGCTGTACAGAGGAGCCTTGGAGTTCGTGCCGGACCAGGCGAGGAGGTGGAGTGCACGTGCCCCATTAGGAATCACATCACAGCAAGCCCAGCTTCATTCACCGCGCTGAGGTTTTATTGCATCCAAAACAGCTCAACAGGGCAATGCCGTCTAGCGCCAACAGTGCGCGTGCTCACTTGACTGGGTATGCTCACGTACCAGGCAGAGCACGCCGGCCATCCTCCTGCGTTTGACTGCAATGGGAGGAGGTCAGCCACTTTGCAACTCGGGCTTGTGCAATGCACTTGTTGGATCTTCACCCACCCAACGTATCCCTGCAAAAAGCACATCGGGAACCTCTACACAAGCAAAGAGGAACGGCCGTGGTGTTCGCGCTGCTTCTGTACTGCCCACAGTCCCAGCCCCGACTCTCCTACCCAGGGAGCGCCCAATACCCAGGTCCTGGGTGCCTATTAAGATCTATCATTCATTGCTAGGAGGGAGTATTAGATGGACAAGAGCTAGAAAAAAAGGTGCATTTGCAACGACTCCAACCTGCTTGGCACAGTGTAGCAAGGACAGCCGGCAGACCTCAGAAATGCTTTGGTTGAACCGAAATTTTCCCCTCAACGAGATTTTGGTGCACTACAATCCCAGCTGTGGGATGAAGCCATCCCTTCCTGCTCCCTTGCGCACCCCAGCAAAACAGGCAGATGGGTAGGGAGAAACTGCACGGTTGCATCACAGGTGCCAAAAAGACCCCAAGAAGCACACGCCTTGCCAAACTCCCAGCAAAACTGCAAGAGGGCAGATTGGAGTCTCCTGGTGAAGAGGTAGCCAAACGTGTCCAAGATCTTGAGTGCTTACAGCTAGGGAGGGACAACAGTGGTGCCCAGGGACTGCTCTGGATCAGCATGTCCCCTCCCAGGTTGCACCATCCTTGGGGGCAGAAAAAAGAAAAACAAAAAACAGGAGGGAAAGGAGCAGAGTTGAACCCCTGAGCATGGAGGACACGTGCCCCAGCACTTGCTAGAGAAGGGCATCAGGACCTGGAAGACCAAGGTGCAACGGGTAGTGCCGAGAGTGCGCCACAGCTCGGACCAGCCTTGGGCTCTTGCAGACCAGGAGCCCTGTGACACCCACTCGAGAGCCCTTCTCATGTCGACAGCATCAATCCGGACCCCGGGCTGCTGGCGCGTCTCGTCCCGGTTCGGTTCGTGCCGGCTGTGGAGCTACGCAGAGAAAGCTCCCGAGGCAGGTTCTGGGGAAGCCACGCCAGGTCACCAAACCACGGTGGAAACATTTCTGCTGCTTCTTTGAGCCCAAGGACGAAATGCAAGAAGCTTTTGATCTTTGGAGAGGCAACAGACCTGGCACCAGGCCTCCACTTTCAGTAGGGCGACAGCGCCCTACTCTGCAGACAGCGGCCAGAGAAGCATGCCAGATGGATTCGCTGCCGTCTTCCAGTTGCATGCGGTCATGAGGCTCCTTTACCTAGCAGGGAGCTGGAGTCTCTGCAGAAACAGACCTTGAGAAGGAACGAGTCCTCCCCGCTACCCCCTCTGCAGCCAGTCCCAGTCTCCTTGGCCCCTCATCGGGCTTGGGGAGCATATGCCGAGGAGCTGGCATGGTGGGGATGCACGCAAAAAAGAGCCAGGACGCACCGGAGCACGATGAACAGACATGTCAGACTGAGGCCGAGAAGCCCGCGCTGACCAGCTTGTTCTATCAGCAGAACCTGATGGAGAATGTCCTACATCCGAAAGCTTGCCCAACTCCATCCTGGCTATGCAGCTGCTCCAGTAACGGACACCGCCCCAAGAAATCCTGGCCTGTACTGGCACCTGCATCCTGCCCAGTGCTGCTCACCCCAGGCAGCTTTGCCCTCCATCTCAGTGGAAGCAGGTTTTGGTCCCTGCAAGAGCCAGGGGAAGAGTTCGCTGGGTGCGTCTACACGTGCACCCTTACTGCGCAGTAACTGAAGTTACTGCACTGTAACCAAAAATTACTGCACAGTACGAGCACACGTCTACATGTGCGTGCCTGTACTGCACAGTAACTATGGTGACTTACACCGACTTGGGCATAAATTTGCTACCTGCATGATGTAGCATGATCAGTGGCATGATGCGGGTAGCAAATTTACACCCGAGTAGCTACTGCGCAGTAAGACGAGTGTAGACGCCTTACAGCGCAGTAACCCTGTTTGTGTGGACTGACTTGGGACTGACTTGGACTAAAGTCAGTCCACACAAACAGGGTTACTGCGCTGCAACATCTGCATGTGCAGATGCCAGCGTAAAAGCTTCTTACTGCGCAGTAAATGCACGTGTAGACATGCCTGCGGAGCCTGACGCCAACTCAACTCCTGGGTAAGCGGCACGGCTGGATCGAGGTGCGTTCCCCCAGGGAATCTCCCTGGCATCAGGGTGGGAAGAGCTCACCTCTGCCCACCCTGGAGGGGCCTCGTGTGCACTGGGCTTCGAAGAGGCTTGCGTGTTATTTTCCTGTAGGTGCCACAGCAAAACCCGGATCCTCATGAACCTGAAACTAGCATTTTGGGCAGGAAAATAAGCAATTTGTGTCTTGGGGGAGAAAGTTGATAAAAAGCCCGAGAAGCTACCTGCCTTGCATCTGCAGAGGGGGTCCTGGTATGCGTGCTGCCAGCTTCCCCAGCCCTGATGTTCATCGAGCTCCTAAGAAAGGCTGTCTGCGTGCTGTGGTCCTGTCGCGAGCCGATGGGACAAAGGGTGCCAAGCGCTCCCAAACAGAGCCTGGAAGTCACTGGATCTGGCGTGTGCGAGGAGCGTCCCAGAACTGCTGCCAGGGCAGGCGGGGAGCAGACCGGCAGTGGAGGGACGGGCTGGCGTGGGTGCAGAGGGCGAGCCGTTCGTGCTGCCTCCTCCCTGAGGTCAAGCGCTCTTGGGAGGGGTCTGAGGAAGTCCAAGGGACCACCTCTGCCAGCAAAGCAAGGGCTGATCTTCCCTGCCCAAGGGCAGCGGGCTGTGGGGAGGAAGGGCACGGGGCTAGGATGTGTCCGTGTTGGGGTCCCAGCTCTGGCCAGCAGCCACACCGCCGTTTCCACTTCCACCGTCTCCTCTCTTTCCCGGGGTGGATCCAGAGCGGGAGCAGTGGCACAGCTGCACCCCTTCTGGATCAGGGAGCCTCCGGGGGACTTCTTCAAGCCCTTAAATGAGGTGAAAGGGAAGGATTTTCACCTGCTTCGGGGATTTTTAAAAAGCCCGTAGGTGCCTGCAGACAGTCTGCCCGTATTGGAAGGGGCGGAGGAGGCTGGGCACTAGGGCTGCCTCCATATCTGCACTGCAGGGTGCTGGTCCTGCACCCCCTTTTCCCAAATCCTGGACCCACCCCATCTCTTGGAGGTGTCGAGCCCCTCAGGGCAGGTCCCGTCTCTGCGATGCAGAGGAGCCCGGCGCTCGGCAGCCACCGCCCCATCTCCGAAGAGAGAAGTGCCTGGACGCGTGCGTCTCTTCCAGCTCCAAGTCGTGGTGCTAGTAACACCCAGGTCGTGGGTTTGATCCCTGTATGGGACACAAGACAAGGTTGGGCTAGATGTGACCTCTGGCGGTCCCTTCCAGGCCCACTTCTCTATGCTCTCAGGTCCACCCCATGCCCCGACGTACAGTTTCCAGGTAGGCAATGCAAGCACTAACCCAAGGGAGGGGAAGGGCTCCCTGTAATAGATATCCCCTTCCATACCTGGAAATGTTCACAACTGCTTTTAATTACTACCTAATGTTACTCTTATTTGTTCCCAGCTAAGCAGGCTCTTCCCCCCACGCCTAGGTTCTTGTTGCACGGTAATTTTGGGCAGCTCCTGGAGCTCTTAACCCAGGGATTGTCCACACATTAACACCTTCAAAGTGATGCCTCTCCGGGGCAGGATGATCTCTTGACCCATGCAACACAGCTCCTGTTGCAAACATGTGGCCACCCCCCCGGCCCCCCAGATGTGCTGCTCCAGTTGCAGGTGCGGCTGCTCCGAACTAGCACGAAGCCGATCAACATCTGTGCAGCTCACAGCTCAAGGTGCAACACGGGCCCTAGACTGGATCTGTCCTGGAGAGCTCCAACCTTGCACGTGTGCCCAGTGCTGCCTGGAGGATGCTTTCTCTTCCGAGTGTCACCGAGAAGGAAGGGGCCTTGAATGGTTTTTAGTTAAATCCAGCAGAACTTGAAAAAGCACTTGTCTGGGGTGGTTTGGACAGGGCTGATCCTGCTTCAGGCAGGGGTTGGACTAGCTATGATGCTCTGGAAGTCCCTTCTCATCTTGCTTTTCCAAGTAATAATCCTCACTAGCAGCATCAATCATCTCTGTAGAAGAAGGGGAAAAAAAAAAATGCAACCACCTATTTCCAATGGGAAAATGCCCTGCCATAGTGGGGAGACTGGTGTGTTTGCAGATTTGACTAGGTTGCACTGGATCAGAAAGCACCGCCGCAAGCACGGGCTCAGAAGCCAGCCCCGCAACCAAGCAGATACTGCCGCCATGCTGCCTGCGGCAGCCATCGAGCCCCAGGTCGGTCCTATAGGATCTTTAGCCTCAACAGAAAAATGGAAAACCACTTTACAGATAGGAAAGGGAGGCTCAGCTGTTGCCATAGCAATGGTCCATCACCTCCCTGCTGAGCCCAAAATGCCATCCCATCCAGTGGCTCGTGTGCTGTGGGCCCCAGCCCAGCACTTGGAGCAGAGTCATCCCAGGTTGCACCTCGCAGGCAGAGAGGCTGGAGGTGGTGCATGCCCAGGACCCCTCCACGCCAGGCATCCAGGTAGCTGAGCTCACAACCTGGGTTTCTTGGCAAGCCCCTGGGATGTGCATGCACGTTGTGCAGGGATTTGCCAAAAGGCCGTTCCCACGTGTTTTCCAGCAGGAACAGGAGGGGCACAGGGATGCACAGGTGTCCTGCCCGGGGAGCCCTGCAGGGTTTGCTGGCTGAGCTCCCTTCCCTCCCGTCCCCGGGAAGGGGACAGTTCTAGGCCAACATGCACCACTGGCCGGAGAGGGTCCCGGCGATTGCACCATTAACCCCATGGGCAGGTCCCAGCACTCGCCAGGCCAAGCTAAGGACAGGAGTCAATGGTGCGGGGCCGACTCCAGCAGGACTGTCCCTTTGGATAACCCAAAGGCTGCAGCCCAGGGCTACAAGACAAGACAGCCATGCTTCAGAGCATCTAGCCATAACTCTGGGGCCATCATACAGTCCTCATCCATTCCTGATGGGAACAGCTTCACTGGCTTGAAAGCATTATCCGCATTGAGCAGCTTGAAAGACAAGAGGGAGACCCCATCCATAGGGTAAAGGGAACGAGGAGGTTTTCAGACCACAAACACGCGAGCATGGGCTTCTCCATCCCGCGAGGTAACGTGGCAGGAGCCATTCCTCCCCTCCACGAGTCCTCATTTAAAAGCCGCGTATCCACGATCTCACCACTGTTACGATGGAGAAATGCTCACCACAGTCCCACTTTAGATACTGGTGCAAACACTGTCAATCTCCATTTCAGGTGCCTACGCTCACCTGGCCTGAGCGCGGAGAGGACTTCCAAGCAGCAGCTGCTGGAAAACACCAAGAGACACTTGGGAATAAAAGGTCCCGAGTCTGAAATTCCCTCTTGCATGAGCCTCGTGGTGCCAGGGAGCTGGCCGGCGTTAGCAGGAGTACAGCGGTTGCACGCTCTGGATGCAATGCTCTACGTGAAGTCAGGAGGAGACAAGATCCTTGCCTCGTTGAATGGGTTTGGACGCCAAACTCTGGGGGCGAAGGAAGGCACTTTCCGAAGAGTTTTTGCACTTCTAGACCATGCCTTGCTCCTGGCCAAGCTGGGCCCAGCCAAAATAACCAAAGGCCTCGGGGGGACCTGGTTGCCCAGGATGCTCTCCAGGGGATGATACAGCAGAGCCGCACCTGGAAGTGATGAGCAGAAAAATGCAAAGCGTGCAGAGATCCCCTTTACGTGGGTAACTCCTACACACAGCAAGGTTTTCCCTTCCACGTATTAGCAAACCGTTAGTTTTTCTGCCAATGGGAACAGTTCATCTCAGCAAATTCCAGGCATTTAAATCATACTTTAAATAGACTGACAATCCTACAGAAATGCCCAGTCCCTGGATATTTTATTGAAAGTTATATCCACTAGATGAGATACGAGAAAGTGCCTAAGAAAGAGCGTAGGAGAACATCTTGGGCACACTGAACTCCACGTCGGCTTCTCCAAATGCAACGTGATGAATCCGGCCATCTAAAGGACCTGAATGACCATCAACAGGACAACGAAGAAAAGCCATCGCTCTACACTGCAAACCAGCATCTGGCTCCGTGAAAAAGCACATGGCTCCACCCACACCTCTGCACAGCTTTCTCCATCTCTCAGCACAACCTAACCACATCAGCCTCATAATTAAGAGGTGGCCCCACGCACCTTTCTCCTACTGACTTGGAGTCAACGAGCAAATCATAAACCCGGAAGATATTATAATTTATGGTCTTGGGCCTTGCAGCGACTCCGTCCGGTCTGCCGAATTATGCGCAATGGCTTCCTGCCTTGCCGGCACACAAGCTCGACACAAGGGTTCAAAGAAAAACCCCTCTAAAATCCAGCCGTGTCGACGGTTTTCAGCTCTCCCGTTGTCTGACGCGGGGCCAAGCCTTTGGTCCAGGCATAACAGACGGAGAAAGATGAAAGGCCCAATTCCCCTTGCTTCTTTCCAGCCTGACCCAGGTGTAGAGCTGGCATGAACAGCCTCCGACGTCAACTCCTTCCAACGAAGACATGTTAAAGCAATAACAAGAAGATGAATAACATGTGGCTAACATCGTCTATTCATTTCTCTTATTTTCCAAAAAATGAATTTTCCCGGGGCGATATTTTTCCTCGCCCGACCACGCTCTAGTCTATCAGCATTAAAGAGTTTCAAAGACAGCGCGATCCCTCCGAGAGTCGTGCAATGCCAGGAAGCACGCCTTTTCTAAACTAATAGCCTACTATTTACAATTGTGAGCGGCTCAAACAGTGGATTTAAAACCTTCAAGTGGCAAAAAATTCCTCCGAGGCAAGATGCCGGAGTTGAGCAAACAATTTGTATGGTATGTTAAGTGTAGGAGGAAGCCACGGAGCGGGTAACGAAACCTCGTCTTGCGTTTCCAATCAGCGCCGGGCAGGACCGAAACGCGCTGTAGCGGGCTACCGAGCTAGGCAGCAAACCGCAGGGGAGGAGGCGAGGGTGGGGAAGGAAGAAGGGAAAGGAGGTTGGGTTCAAAACATTTTTCGTTAGCTCGTTGGACAACGCAACGTAGCGCCTCGGCCGCGCGCGGACGGCAAGTACTTGCGCAGAACGTGGCCCGGCAGCTTCCAGAAAGCAGAATTTATACATTATTCTCATGATTTTGAAATATTTCAATGCCCGGTGGCCAACCCGCAGCTCCGAGGGGAGACGGGGACTGATCCGCTCTCAATGCCACGCAATGCTTCAGAGCGGCGGTGCTCAAGCTTTCGTGGGTGGTCAACGGGCGGCGTGGAGCCCAGGCCCAATGCAGCCCAGTCTTGCACGCAGGGCACCGCGGGGGCCGAGTCGCTGCACGGCTGCTGCTGCCAGAGCGCCCCGCATGCACCGCCGGACGGAGCGGGCAGTCGGGGGAGTCTCTGGGGACCAGCCCGACACCCCAGCGTTTGGGGCGCGCTCAATCGGACGGATGGGATGGGGCCGCGGGCAGGCAGGGAGCAGCATCCAAGAATGAGACCAGTGGCCAGGGCCAGGATCATGGGAGACCCCGCTGCCCGCTCCATCGGGAGCCCCTGGCAATGGGTGCAAGGCAGATGGTCCGAAGCCAGATAGGACCAATTCCCCGTGTCCCTGCCGTGCCAGATCAGCACCACCCTGCACCCACAAGAGCTCACCGAAGCTCCTTAAGTGGCCCTTCAGCCCAAATGATTGCCCACCCGAGTCCAAGAGAGGCTGCCTTCTCGGTGAAGCCCCTGGTTAAACTGGGGTGCAGCAACACAGGGGTCCCCAGGAGTTGCACTGAAGTCAAGGGGAAGCTACTGCTAATTCCCCAAGTCACCGACACACCTGTCCAGGCAGCCCCCGGCATTTGCTGGCCCTGCCCGTGCAAACCCCTGTGCAGATGTTCCCACAGGTCACCACCGCTGGCATTGTCCAAGCCCCGGTACACGGTGGGAACAGGCTGGGGCATTTGCTCCGTGCCATTGACTTTGCAAGGCATCCCTGGCCATCCCAGCCCTTGCACGTGGAGACGCTGCAGAGGTGACCCCAGAAGCTCTTCATCACAGCTCCGCCAAACGCAGGGAGGGCAGGCACCGGGGGCTCGCACCTGCTCAGCCTCTCCATGGTCCTGCTCTGCTCTGGGCAGCCCCCGGCGCTGGCTCCCGTGCTTGGCTGAGCAGCCTTTGGATGGAGGCAACTAGCACACACACGCAGAGAGAGGATGCATCCCCCAGGGCCACGGATCCTGCTGGCACGGCCGGGTTTAAGCCACAAAGTGCTGCCTTGCCCCGTGGCCCGGGCTGCTCCATTCGAAGTTGCTGCAGGGAGCCTGGTGAAACTCACCCCCGGGACCGGTGCTGCTTGGGGGCCTGCTCATACTGGGGCACCCGGGTCTTGCCCCCAATGGGGCGAGCGCTAGGCTCTGCTCAGGGACACCAGGCACATCCCACACTGGCCCAGTGACCCTTTAGTTATCAGCTGGAACCAGTTCCTCCCAGTCCCATGACTTAAAAGACTTGCTTCCCCTCTCATCGGCCTTGACCCCAATGTCCCCATCCACCCCCCACGGCTAGGACCCCATCAAGCCCTGCCGCCACTCCTCCAGCTCTCCAAATAGTCCCCAGTACCCCCTCATTGCCAGCCCTACCATCATCCCAGTGGAGCCGACAGCTCCCCGCACATCCCTCCAGCCGCCGGGACAGCCCGGGGTGCGGGGACGCCGCAGCAAAGCTCCAGCAAGCCCTTGCTGGCTTCCCCTGCTGCCCTCACCCCAGGACCCCCCTTTCGTACTTCCAGCTCCCTCAGGAGCCAAGCCCTGGCCACAAACCAGCATGAACGAGCGAGCCCAGTGCGGCACCAATCCAGACCCACAGCAAAGCTGTCGAGGAGTGCATCCAGCAGCCCAGGAGGAGGCAGGCGCATGAACCCCCACAGCCGTGGGCTTGCACTGCGCACCCCATGCAGCCAGGGACCCCGGGCAGAGCACCCCGATGCTGGGTCCTTCTTGTACCATAAGGAGACCCGGCGAAGGATGGCAAGCATGAGGAACCAGCCTCCAGAGCCTTGCAGGGGCTGGAGCACAGGTTCGACTGGGTCAGAGTAAGGCCCCTTTGTTTTGCACCCTCACTTCTTTTCACGCCCAGCTCCCCGGTGCACCAGACACGCTGTGCCCCAGGCAGCTGGCAATAGCCACATGCGATCCCTTCCTGGCCTGTGCTTTCCCAGCCTGGGATCAAGGCACCCTTGTTTCCATCCCAGCATCATGAACCGTGTTCAAAGCGGTGATCCTGTCTGCTATCTGGCAGCAAGCGCCTTCCCACCAAGTAGGCTCTGGGAGGACGATGCCAGCTATGCTTTCATGGTCCTGGAAGAAATATATCCTGCCCCAGGCTCTCTCTGGCTTGCCATTGCTCCTCAAACCTGACCTCTCCCATTGCAAAGGGCCTTGCAAATCCACATTGCAAAGGCCCCACGACTGAGCAGGAAAGCAGCTTTCACATCAAGGCAGAGGCTTCTCTGCAGCTCCCCAGCAAGGCAGTACTCACCCGCCTTGGGTCTCCGCAGGCCAGCTGCTGCTTCACCCAGGATCTGGCACGGCCCAGATGCTCTCCCACCTCGGCAGGGGAGTCCAAGTCCCAAAGCAACAGCAAACAAGGAGCTCCGAACAGGCCAGCAGGTCCCTACCTTTCCCTCCTGGCATCAGTCTTCAAACAAGCAAGCAGCTGCTCGCACTCCCAGGCTGCAGAGAGGCTCCCACCCCTGTACCTCACGGCCTCCAGGCCACAGCTGCTACCACGTTTCTCCCAGAGGGAAAAGCAATACCTCTTCCCCTTGCAGCAGCCAGCTCCAGCTTGGACAGGTGTGGCAGGTCGGGGCTAATTGGGTCCTCAACCCTCGTTAACCTGCTGCTGGGCAGGTGAGTGCAGACAAGCTCTTCTACCTGCCCTCAGCACAGAGCAATGTGCTGGCGGCTGCTGGCAGGACTCGGGGCCTTTTTCCAGGGCCGGTGGTGGCCTTAGGGTCATCTGGGACCCCTTTAGAGGCTTAATTGTGATGACCTATAAGCAAGTTGGACATTTTCAATTTCAATTTTACTTTGCCCTATCCGTGAAACTTATTTGTAAGTTGAAGAAAGAGCAAAGTTTTAAATAACTTCACCCTCCCCTCCAAAAAATTGTTGCAAAATTTAGGGGCCTGGTTTGCCCACCCCTAAGGCCACTACTGCCAGGCCTATAGGTGGTCACCTGCAGCCAGAGCCCAGTATGGAGGGGATTCCCTATGGAAAGAGACTGAAGAGGCCAGGCCTGCTCCATTTAAGAGAGAGATGCTTGGGTGGGGCACATGAGAAGGGTTTACACCATACTAAATAGCAAAGATAAAATCACTAGGGATTTATTATGGATGCTCTGTCACCGGACAAGAGCCAGGGGTCACACGAAACAAGTAGGCAGTCCATTTAAAATGAATACCAAAAAGTTGTTTTTCACCAAGTGTGTCGTTAAAAGATGGGACTCGTTGCCACCAGCTGTGCTAGAAGTGGAGTTTAGCCAGGATCAAGGAGGGGCTGAACACGAGCTTGGAGACCAGGTGCATTAGGGGCTCTGGAGCAGGGGAGTGAGGGGCATCAGGCC